ACCCCCCTCTTTTGATATTCATAGATCCACCCCTGCGATATATGAACAATGTTTACTTCTTACTCAACCAATCAGCAGGAGTGTCGCTTTCACATGATACTAATCAGAATGTAGTGTACAAGCTCTGGAATTTGAATTGCATAGTTGCAAGATTGTGTCTGTCTGTGAAGGTTGCTCGTCATTGGGAGACAGGAGTGTAATTTAATGAGTATTTGAGAAAGAAGTCACAGCTGTTGACTTGTTAAGGTGTCATGGTGTTCTCTTTGGTTCAGTAAAGTGTCCAAGGTGTAATTCAGACTGTCAGAATCCTCCTTCATATGTTAATTAAGGTAAGCTGTGGTTAGGTTAGGTTTACACACTGAGGCTCCATATAGGTTAGGTCTGGTCCTTCTGGTTTGGTTGAGTGATACATGTGCAGTATACTGTACTGTACTGATATGTTGGTAATTGGAGGAGCACATCTCCATAACTACTCATTTCCAATGGAATTAAGGTCAACCATGTATGAAACATAATGAAAAACACTATAAAAATATATTTCCCATAGTAATTTCCATGTACTGCAACTACAGAATAATTACCCTGTTGTTTCTTGTGAGTATGAAACAAAACAGTTTTCTTAATGTCAATGAATCAATCAGATTCCTGCTGCCCTTTAACAGCTGACTGAAACTAAATGCTGTAAACAAAGGGAGGTCATCCTCGAGCGAAGTGAAATTCCTCAACCAGATTTACTATATTCTTGCGATAAGAAACAAGTTTTCTTATATAGAGTTTTCCTAAGTGGCTCCTTTCCTGGAGGCTGCCATCTAAAACATTACTATCTCCTATTATTATTCTGGCAATTTCAAACAATGATGAGGCAATACAAATTTTGTAAAATTATTTTGATAATTTCCTCCTGAACAGTGTTTCATACAGACCAACACTTCCATAGAGGAACTACAGTATAGTCTGGATTTAAGCGGTTTTTGTTTACGTGTTTGGTCATTTACGCGGTGCCTTGCCAGAATGAAACTGCTTTAATTACTCGGTAAATTTGGTCATTTACGCAGAGAGCGGCTGGAGAGGTCCAGACTGCCGCGCCATTTTTTACCCACGCGGTACATTCTTGATCATACATGGGAAGCGGCACGGTGAGTGGTGCGCATTAGGCCGCTCTTACGTTATCGCTGACGTCATATGACGTATCAGACTGTGATTGGGCCACGCATCCTTACCACCCACGCATTCCCTCACCTGCTAGCTGTGATTGGTCTAATGTACAGTAGGCTCTCGCAAATAACGACTTCCACAATAACGTTTTTGACAATAACGGTAAGTTACAATAGATACCCATTTTCGATAATAACGTCTGGATTCTCTTGAATAAAGGAGATTTTGTGGGAAGCATCCGTGCGCATCAATGATAGTGTTTGTTTTCCGCCATGTTGATGACGTAGTTGTCCTCTCCGCCTCACTCTCACTCTCACACACGCTCCACGGAATACAGCGCTGCACCTACGTGTGAGATTTTCGCCTCTATAACCAGTGGTTGCTAGGGTCGGTGATCAACAATGGTTTACGCATTTTTGCCTGTGGGAGTTAGGGTAGGTGGTGGAGGGAGTGATTTGTCGCCTGAAAACCCGGGAACTTTTAAAGTGAATGAATGAGAAAAAAGACCCCAAAGCTAAGAGACAAAACCACAAGAAGCATGCCTACTCAGTCAAGGGTAAAGAACATTGTTGAGCTCATTGAAAGTGATGCACAGAACATTGATATTGTGAGGAAATTGAACTGTCCTGAACTTACAGTGCGAAATATTAAGAGAAACTTAGAGGAGACCAAGAATAGTATTGCGCTGGCTAAGAAATATTTCGGTAGTGATGGAAATGCGAGGCGAGCTATGAATGATAAAAGTGATAGAAACAGGTTGTTAGTGATAACAGAGCATTTTCTTGTGAAATGGTTAGCTTGTAGAAAGAAAGACAGTGCAAGTCTTAGCGGCCCTCATAGACGGAACAATCATCACACCAAGCACCTCAAAAACTCCCCCAAGCTAAGTGTTATATTACTCAAACTCTTTATTTTGATGATTGAATAACAATTCTTTTTATTTCAGCGAACAAAAAGTGTTAGGAGGGCTTCTAAGGGGAAAAATTGGGTGAAATTCTTGGGGTGGCGGCACCAATAAACCCTTTTTACATGTATTTTAATGTCACACAAATAACGTTTTCACTAATAACGGCGTTTTTCGGGCACCTATTAAACGTTATTGGCGAGAGCCTACTGTAACATGACGTGCCCTGCCACCAGAGGGAAGAAGTCGCTGACCTAGCCGGCCCAGTCTCATTGTTCTCGGTCCGCGTATACAGTTCTCTCTTGTGCCCGCTATTCCCCTTACAATTGCTTCCGCGGGACCCCCACCATCCGAGAAAAACCTTGAATTACCTGGACCAAGCCATGGTAATGTGAAGGAAATCATCGAGTTGGGGGAGAAAATTAAGCTCATCCTTGACAACGATCCAGACAAGCATCGGTATGAAGTGTCTAATAACCATCTGACGAAAGTTATGGAGCCGTATATCCAGATCTATCTCGACAATATCAATACTAGTCGTCAACGTAGTATTGAGGGCTTCCTCGCCCGCAACCCACCACAACCACAGCCAGCCCAAGTCAGTGATATTGATATTGACAGTGAGGATATGGACTTTGAGGGGTTTGTTTGGGAGGCCCTGCAAACCTCTGCGAGTAGTGAAGTGATTCACCGGAGGGCAACTAATCTGCCCTCAGCCTCGGAACCAGCCGCCATCCACGTGTGCCGACCCAGCTTTTCTACTAACGTAAGTGTTAAAAAACCTAATATTATTGATATTTCTCTTAATTATTAATTGTGTGTGCATACCATCATAAAATTAAGATGTTATTTTGACTACAACGTACGTATTGTGTCAGAAAAAGTGCAGTTTGGGGGTCGGCCCAGTCTCTACTTCAATTAATCCCATATGTTCTGTTATTTCATTTACGCGTTTCTCGTTTTACGCTGGCCTCTACGGGTTCAATTGACCTCGTAAATGCAGACTATACTGTACTTCCCTGATTCTGTTACATAAAAAGATTGTCTGGTTGTCAGTTAGGTAGGAATTTTTTTTAGATTAACACCAGAAGTTGTTATAATTGGACCAAACTTAGTGGAAACGTTATTTACAATCTATTAAATATATAAATGAAAACGAGAATCGGTGAATTTTTAGTCATGCCCCGGTCTTTCTCTCGCCGTTATGAATATTTTTTTTTTTTTACTGGGCACCCCCCTACATCCTTGTGTAAGGTGAAGCACAGAAGCATTTACAGCGCCCAACAGGGAAGCATGCTAAGTTCATGCTTGCCTTTATGTCTCATGAGTCAAGGGCGTAGAAGCCTGAAGAGTCAATGGTTTTATGTCTAAGCAAGTTATTGGAAGCTCCAACAACTTTCCCTGAATACGAATTTGCAACTTTCGATTTACAGCAGGTACCTACTTTGCTGCTATGTGAACAGGGAACAAAGGAGGCTGGGAAGTGTGTCCGAACAACTTTCCACTGGCCCGGGAATCGGACCTGTGACATCTCGCTTTTTAGGCAAGATATGATATTTCTGCCGTAAATTAAGGATAACCGAGATATTAATTTTTCAATATCATTAGATTTCCTCAGTCACAAGCGTCGCCATGATTTGTTTACATACGGTGGAGAAGGTCTCAAGCGTCTACAGCGCATGTGCGAGGTTGGCTATAGCAAAAGGAGACTTATGATTGGGCAAGAGTCTTTTTCACCAAAATGGTGGGGCATGCACTAAGGGGGGTTAGGTTTTGTTGGTTGGTTGGCATTTTTTTTTGTGATTTACTCGAGAAAAAAATCTAACTTTTTCTGTTAAGATTGTTGAGTGGTGGTGAAGTGTTGGGTATTTCAAAATCTAGTGATTTCCGGCGGAAATGAATATCAAATTCGTTCGAAACTCATCAAATACCATAGGAAAAACATATTTTGTAATATCAAAAGAAAGACCAGTACCATATGTAAACAAATCATGGCGACACTTGAGACTGAGGAAATCTAATAATATTCAACAATTAATATCTTGGTTATCCTTAATTTCTGATGGAAATATCATAAAGAAAAATGTCATTGAATTGTCTAAGCATTACAAAATACATATTAATAACAGTGAGAGAAAGACCGGTACATGACTAAAAATTGACCTGAGAATCCATTCAGTGTCGTTATGTGTGTTTTAAAAGGATTTCTGGTAAGTTAGGTAGATTACTTTAGGTAAGGTTGGTTAGGTCAAGTTCTAATAGGAGCTGTGCACATTCGTTTCCATTATCTATTAAATGGATTGTAAATAACGTTTCCACAAGTTTGATTCAATTCTATCAACTCCTGGTGATAGTCTAAAAACATACCTGACAACCGGACAAATATCCACAAAGTAAAATGATTCATCAGAGATAAAACAAACAAACCTTACCTAGCTAACCTGACCTATGATATATTGCATCATCTTATATACCAATAAATTCTATAAAGTAGCAGTATCTGTCAAGTTTATTGAAGTGTTACAGTATTATAGAACAAACTAACACACTTAACCTGTAAACAGTGAATGTCATCTTAGTCCTTTGGGATAGATTATGTTCAAGACAAAAAGATATCACAAAATTGTATTACACAAATTTAAAATCTTCATCATTTTATAGAATATTCATGAATTAAGAAATATTTACCTTCTGAAAATTAGACCAAAGTTCCTGATTACCGGTCCTGTTCCTTCACTGTCTATGTACTAAACCTGCACTGTTTATATACGTACTGCATCTAAGTATAATTGTATTTACATTTTATTTAATGATATATATCTTATTCTATCTATCCATCTACTCTACTGTTTATCAATGCCGGTGTGTTTACATCTTCATTTTCTATACTCAACTACTACACTAGTGACTCTCACTGCTATCTTCCCTCACATATATTTACCTCTACTTTATGCTGCTGTTGTGGTCTTCATTATTCTTCACTATTCATCACGTCGTGTAAATGATCACAATGCGTGTGTAGAGATGTTTACCTTCAGTCTGGTTTTATAGAATAAGACAGTCGAGTGTGTGTCTCACTAGGTGATGTGTGTTGGCAACTCCTGTGATGAGTCCTGTCTGAGCCCACCCCCAGAACCCCAACAATTGCCATCACCATTCTCCGCCAACATATTGAACGTACTACTCTTGTTCGAACGTAGGAACAAATGGCAATAGGGAAATATGGACCGGAAAAAAAGCATAATCATCAGACTAGGAAACAATGGCACATTTAATTTTTACTGACATGTTTTCGCTAAAATTTTATAACGTTTGTTACTGAAACTTGCTTAGAGATATATCAACGTCATACATAAATGAATTACAAAATTAAAAATGTCACATTGCATATTATTGTTAAAGATTTGCAACGAAAGTTATAGCCAGCGCCTTGCAAAAACTCTCGAACTGACTTGCGACCAGCTTGGCGTTCGCATAATGCTACCGCCAATGGTAATAGCATTCGCGGTCCCGGCAGAGGGTCTTCAGCCTTGTCTGGAGTTTCTAGCAAACTCGTTTTTGGCGCTTCCTGGGTGGCTCACCACGAGATTCTTTGATGATTTGAGATGATACAACAGCATGGTCAGCTTGGATCCACTGGATGGAACGCCAGATAGTTGGGTGGCTGTGCCCAATCAACCTCCTGGTAGTAAAGGAAGTAAAGAAAGCTTTGAAAGGAATGAGTGTTAGTTACAAGACTAGCGAGGTCATCCTAAAACTATATCTTGCGCTTTGAGACCTCACTTGGAGTACGTAGTTCAGTTCTGGTCACCGTACTACAGGATGAGTATAGAATCCTTGAAAGAATTCAGAGGAGAATGACAAGACTAATCCTGGGCATTAGGAACCTTGAGTACCGAGACAGGTAAAAGCATCTTAATTTGCACTCCCTCGAGAGACGTAGAGTGAGGGGCGATATGATCGAAGTGTATAAATCAAAGTCAGGGCTAAACAAAGGTGATATAACAAGTTACCAAACATCATCATTAACTCTAATACGCTGAGTAGCTTCAAACATAGGCTCGTTAGCTCGTTTGTGGTTCGTGAGCTCCAAGTGAAATTTGTTATGCCATTTTTTCTTAGTATGAAAATTGTTCCATTTTATCATGTCACCAACATCACTCTCCCTCATCACAACCTCCACCACCGTCATCAACACCACTCTCCCTCATCACAAACTCCACCACTGTCAACAGCACCACTCTCCCTCACCACAACCTCCACCACCGTCATCAACACCACTCTCCCTCATCACAAACTCCACCACTGTCACCAGCACCACTCTCCCTCACCACAACCTCCACCACTGTCACCAACATCACTCTCCCTCACCACAACCTCCACCACCGTCATCAACACCACCCTCCCTCACCACAACCTTCACCACCGTATCAACACCAATCTCCCTCATCACAAACTATGATATATTGTGACCAACACCATTCTCCGTCACCACAACCTCCACCACCTTCATCAACACCACTCTTCTTCATCACAAACTCCATCACTGTCACCAACACCACTGTCCACAACCTCCACCACCGTATCAACACCACTCTCCCTCACCACGACCTCCACCACCGTCATTAACACTACTCTCTAGTCTCCACTACCACCAAAACTATCGTCACTTTCCACCACCACTAGCCCCACTCCCCACCACCACCGTCACTCTCCACCATTACCATTGTCACTCTCCACCACCACCACTGACATCACACAACACGGTCTCCAGCACCACTTAACTTTATCCTCTTCGCTACTGATCAACCTGTTAACCGCTTGGCCGGACGGTCACGTCTCTGTAGACTCTCTTATGCATTCTTAGTTTGTTTGTTGTTGAGATTGTCGGACCGTACTCCGATACGGGCCTTTGCCTGAAGGCGGCCCATTTGGTGGCTCTGGCTGGAGCTCTTAGAGCAGCCAGACCGAATTTGTGATTGGGGATGGAGGTTGTCCTACCTGCAGATATGAAAGGATACTGCAGGTTTGCAAGTGTGAGCGGACCCTCGGTCAGTGAGCGCTTACCACCAATCCCCACTCTTGGACGTAGTCAGTTTCGGAGTGGCGCGGCCCCCGAACTGGGGTCCGCACTTGCTGGGGGAGGATACTTCCCAAACTATCTGGGTGGTGGGTATCATGTGATGACACGGAGAAGGTGGTGAATGTGGTTTGTTTAGGTCTTTCGGGTTAGAATGGCCGCTGGAGTTGTGTGTTCTTCTTGGAAGTTTCAAATTCTGTTTTGGAAACTTTGTGTGACTTTGCAGTCGAGGAGATAGTGTTCCAGTGGGTTGGCCGCTGGCTTCTGACAGTAGGTGCATTCCCTGACGACATTTCCGATCGTCTGCCAGGTGCACTTGTACCCAAGTCGTAGTCGATGAAGGCTAACTTGGGTTTGTCTTGGTGTTTTCTTGTCCGCGAATGGTGGTTCCCCTATTGTAGCCACCAGGTACAATTTGGCTGATTGGGAACCAGAGTTGAATGCGTGAAGGAAGCTCTTTTGGATGTGGAGCTTGGTAGTCTTTCTGAGGTGGTTCTTGATCTGTTGCACGCTTGCTGGAACTTGAATGTGAACGCTCCTAAACCGTGTGGCTGCCTTGGCTGCTGCGTCTGCCATGTCATTTCCCCCGATCCCTACATGACTGGGAATCAAGTGTAAGACGACTAGGCGAGTTTGTCTTTGGAAGTCCTGTAGCTGTGCGAGGATCGAGGTTATGATGTGGACGTTGTCTCTTGGTTGACTGTGTTGCAGCGCCTGCATGGCCGTTTTCGAGTCCGTGTGAATTATGATGGACTTGTTGTCTTCTGTTGCTACCAACTCTGTTTGTAGGGTGGAGCAGTCATCAGAAAGTCTCCATAGGAGGGTCTGACCTTGGGTGTAGAAGGCCGCTCCGGATCTGTAACTTAATCACTGTAGCTAAGAGTGTTAAATGAGGACGGAGGCTATCTTATAGTAGCTCGTCTAAAATGTGTCCTGAGTAAGGACCCGTCGAAGGAGAACTGAATTTATCCGACGTAGTAAAGACCCTCGAGGAAGAACGGAAATATATCCGACGTCCTCCCTCGATGGAAGGATGGAGCACATCCACGATGGCTCTAAATAACGTCTTAATCCTTAGCTCAGCACCAAGTGACGCGACTTCCCGTGGGCACACCTTATCACGTGGTCTGAACATGAGCCTCATAGCTAGTGGAAAGTTACAGGGGGTGATAGTTAAACAAGTCTAATGTAATTAACACACATTTATATAAATACTTCTGCCTATAAGATAGGGGCTAATACACGTTACTGTTGGATCCTCCAGACGTTTAGTGTTAAAACCTCTTATGGAGGCTTGCTGCCTTTGCCGTTTTGGGTCTACATGAAGTGAGAGCTTGTCTCTGACGAGCCGGTGATCAGTATTGCAGTGGTCTGAGCCAAGGATGGATTGGGTGATGAGGATTTCTCGGAGATCTTTTTCTCTGACAAGTATGTAATCAATGAGATGCCAATGTTTGGATCGTGCTTGTTGGCACGAACCCTTGAACTTGTCGGCCTGCCTAAACAAGGTATTGGTGATAGTGAGGTTGTGTGCAGCATACTTGCTGAGGAGGAGTAGTCTATTGGGAATACACTGCCTAGTCCATTTCTCCCTATGATTCCCTGCCAAATGACAGCATCTCTGTCAACTCTGGCATTGAATTCATCGAGGAGCACAACCTTATCTTCTCTTGGGATAGAAGTTAGCACTCTGCCAAGATCGGCGTAAGAGCCCTCCTTGATGTCATCCTCTGTATCTAGTGTTGGGGTGTATACACTGATGAAGAAGGCATGACGTGAGTGATTCAGTGGGACTCGGAGCGTCATGAGGCGCTTGTTGATCCCAAAAGGCATTTCAGTTAGCCTATGTAGGATGCATTGGTGGATGGCAAAGCCAACTCCATAAATGGGGTTTCTCTGATAGGGTTACCCTTCCAAAAGAAGGTATAGCCAGAGCCCCGTTCTGTGAGTCGACCCTCGTTTGGGAACCGAGACTCACTAATGGCTGCTATGTCGATGTTATACCGAGGCAGCTCTTTTGCCAGAAGAGCAGTTCTTCTTTCAGAATGCTCATTTGTGCCATTATCCAGAAGGGTTCTGACATTCCATGCGGCGACCATAAGAGGTTGTATAGTTTGATTTTGTTTTGATCTGTGATTATGATTTTGTTTTCGACTGCGTAAGGAGGACCTTACTGGGTGCGGTTGCCCGGTCAGGTTGGTTCTTTAGGCATGCTATGTTTAGAGCACCTTTTCTCACCCCCTCCTTATGTGGGGTGAGCAGAGTGGGTCCTTGAGAGGGTTGCTCAGTCGCACAGACAGGGCATGGATTGCACTGCTGCCTAGCTCCCAGTGCATAAACGACCATCTTATCTGTGCAGCCCATGTGCAGGGTTGTGACTAGACTCCCAGCAGTCATCTCTGCCTGTCCCTGTCACCACTCGTCTGTCGCCACAGGACTTTCGGGGGTATAGGGTTTTTTATAATGATGAGATGTATGAATAATAATAATAATAATAATAATAATAATAATAATAATAATAATAATAATAATAATAATAATAATAATAATAAACGGTTTATTAATAGAGTTGCAGCCGGTGGCTGAAAATATACAGACTTACATTTGATTTAGACATAATGATATAATATGCATTGAATACATTTACAGGGCTGTACAGTACATAAATCAGGAGTTGTTTATTATTTTAACAATAGATGGGATGGTGCTGTTCTTATATCTATCGGTGCGGGCTCTTATGGGCTGAATTTTGTTGTAGTGGCGGACTGCGCGAGGTGGATGGGGGGCTGCCGGTGGCAGGAGGTGGCGATGACGAGGGTGGTGCATTAGTTGGCTGCCAAACCTTTCCAGTGCTTGGTGGTGGAGGTCACTGAGGGATGGCATTTCCAGGGTGGAGAGAGCGTTGGTGTAGCCAGAGTATTCTGCGCCGAGCATGATTCTGCAGGCCCTTTTCTGTACCTTCTCTAGCTGACGTTGTTGGGTGGAGTTGAGAGAAGACGATGAGCGGGATGATGGCTGCATGTGAATTGATTTATGTGGTGAGGCAGGAGCGCAGACTGCAACCACGCATCTTGGCTCTCCCTTTTTCTGATCCAGCGGTGCAAGTGTTGCAATGACTGGGGAGAGGAAGTTGCAATGGACTGCCGATAACTCAGTTTGCTAGGTTTCGTCTTTTTTTTTTTTTTTAAGGAGATTATCCCACCCGGGCACAGGTCACTGACCCACATCGGGGCCTGGGGGGCGAAAATTTAATAATAATAATAATACAGTAATTCATAGTAAATAAAACTTATAATAAAAGGTAAAATAAAATGATAATAACAATAACAATAACAACACTGTAATAATGATAATAAAAAAAAATCAATAGTGAGAAACGCTATAAGTACAGTATGTATGTTGTGTTGTCAATAGTAAGAGAAACAATTGAGATCCTGCAATTGTGTGTAAATGAGGCAGAAAGTCAGATCAGCAACCTAGGACTTGGTCACAATATGCTTCCAATATCTTCCCAGGCTGTAGTACCTCCCTGTTTGGTAGCTGCCTGCTACCTACTACCTACCAGTCCATCATGCATTGCCTTCATCCGCCGGTGTAGTCGTTGGGTTCCCATTTTGGTCACGTCTTCTGCCTATACCGCCGTTGGGGTTCTGTTGGAGCTCTGTAAACATGTCTGCCTGACCCGGGGTTCCACGGCAGATATTTCGTTCGAGGTTTACTTCCGTAGCCTTATACCTACTAAGGTTAATTCGCAAGGCAGGGAGCAGAAATTGGTAGGCGCCAGGACGTGTCCACATGCCAGTGGGCGCATGTGTTTTCCCTCTGGGCCCATTGCTGCTCTGGGATCCCCTGCTGGTCTAGCCTGGGCCCACGGGACACCCAGTTACTGTGTGTTGCCATGAGGAGGCACAGCAGGAGTCTTGATGGTGAAGAGGCTGTGTACTGGCAGGGGAAGACTTGTATAAGTTGCTTCCCTGTTCACCACGAGGGCTAGCCAGTGGCGGCAGCTGAAAGTGAAAGGGAGCAAGCAGTGCCTGCACCTTAACACTAACATAATTCTACCACACTAGACGCAATACACCACCCTGTGAACACATACACACACACACACTACAGCTCTTGGTGGTATTTGATTATTTAAGTTAATAAAAATTTTGTAAATCCAAGAACTTGCATAAGGTCAGTGTGATAAGAATATTTGGTAATAATAATAATAATAATAATAATAATAATAATAATAATAATAATAATAACAATAATACAGTAATAATAATAATAATAATAATGATAATGATAATAATAATAATAATAATAATAATAATAATAATAATAATAATAATAATAATAATAACACGAACAACAACAGAATCAACAACAACAATAACAAAAATAATAATGGGAAATACTCACTTGTTGCGTCTCCGGGAAATCCCCTAAAATAGACGACTCGGGTGACGACCAACACAATATAAATAGGCAGGATGAAGGCAAGGTAGGTAGATACCGCCTTGGGATGAAGGTGTATGCTGGCAGTCACCCTTGAGACTAAGGAGAGAGTGGACGACGCTTCCTGACTCCAGAACAACACTGCTTCAAGGTGGTAAGTTAATTTGATCGACTGTTATTTGTAATTAGGTGACTTATGTTGTTATTATTGATCAAAGATGTTATTATTAATCCACGAAATATAACAACAGGAGGTGTGTGTGTGTGTGAACCATTTTAATACTACTACCGTTACTAACTTTGTTGATATTCAATTGGTTACAGAGACGTGTTGACGTGTACTCTAGCTCGGTGTTGATGATGGCTCGTCTGCACGTCAGTCTCGCCTTGGTTCTCCTCGCTGTGTTACTGGGAGTCTCTGGACACATCACTAACCATAGGACACCACCAAACATCAGGTACAACCCATCCTGGAGGCCTAGCGGACACAGAACGTACAGAGAAGGACATGGAACGTACGGACAAGGACATGGAACGCGGGGACAAGGACATGGAACGTACGGACAAGGACATGGGACGTACGGACAAGGACATAGAACGTACGGACAAGGGCATGGAACGTACGGACAAGGACATGGAACGTACAGAGAAGGACATGGAACGTACGGACAAGGACATGGGACGTACGGACAAGGACATGGAACACACGGACAAGGGTATGGAACGTACGGACAAGGACATGGAACGTACAGACAAGGACATGGAACGTACGGACAAGGACATGGAACACACGGACAAGGGTATGGAACGTACGGACAAGGACATGGAGCGTACAGACAAGGACATGGAACGTACGGACAAGAACATGGACACGTAGGACAAGGAAACCCCGGTGATGTTGGACACGTAGGACAAGGAAACCCCGGTGATGTTGGACACGTAGGACAAGGGAACCCCGGTGTTGTTGGACACGTAGGACAAGGAAACCCCGGTGATGTTGGACACGTAGGACAAGGGAACCCCGGTGTTGTTGGACACGTAGGACAAGGGAACCCCGGTGATGTTGGACACGTAGGACAAGGGAATACCCTCCTGAACAAAGTGGACCTCAGAACTAACTCGTAAGGTGAGACCATTAATAATTTATACCGAAATAATATTGTTGCTTTGAAGTATAGATGTAAATGACAGACACATACACACACATCTTACATCCTACAGGAACATAACATTATCAAGTGTCCTGCACTTCATAATGGTCTTTAGTATTTCCTCCTGCACCACCAGTGTCTTCAGGTGATGGACACACACACACACACAGTAACATGTACAAGTATATCTCCTTGGTACTAATACACGATGCCTTTCTGCAACTCAGGAACCAACAATATGTCAATCGACCAATATGGGACCAGGAAGATATCAAGAATCCGATCAAGGAGTATCGGCATAACTATCAACCAATCAGGGACCATCGTCATAATTATTAATCAATCGGGGATCACCGATATAATTGCCAACCAATGAGACCATCGATATAATTGTCTTCCTCTCCGGTTCTTTGTTGATATAAAGGTTAAATATATGGGAAGTGTGAAATAATAATACCTGTATTTTATAATAAATAGTTGTCACCTGAGCCTTGTTAACACGTGCCTATGATATAATATATAAAACTTATTAGAAACCTCACGAAATGAGTAAAAGTTTTGATAAAGTTCTTCGCTCACGACTGACCTTAAGATCCAAGCATAGCGTGTCCACCAACACAGACTGGCCACAAACATAGTGTGTCCACCAACACTGACTGGCTACACACATAGTGTGTCCACCAACACAGACTGGCCACAAACATAGTGTATCCACTAACACAGGCTGGCCACAAACAGTGTGTCCACCAACACAGACTGGCCACAAACATAGTGTGTCCCCTAACACAGGCTGGCCACAAACATAGTGTGTCCACCAACACAGACTGGCCACAAACATAGTGTGTCCCCTAACACAGGCTGGCCACAAACATAGTGTGTCCACCAACACAGACTGGCCACAAACATAGTGTGTCCACCAACACAGACTGGTTACAAACATAGTGTGTCAACTATCACGGCCACTACTGAATAACCTTCCTCTTTCAGCAGTGCTCCAACTCCAAGGCCCATTACTCAGACTCACGTTCTGAAATAACGGCTGTGGTTAACAGACCAGGATATGTAGACACTCCTTGCTACTTCTGGCTGATAGTTGAAGATGACATTTAATGCAAACACCCTTTGAGAAAACATCCAAGGAATACTTTTCTTTATACTGTGCAAAATTGGGTTAGGACTGAGAAATACTTATTTATAACAATTAACAACTTTTAGATTCACAATAAAACAAAGAATACATACAATGACACTGCATGACCTTGTGGCCCAACTACTTTAGTAAATTAATTTTCAATCTTAATCTCACAATAAGACTCTTCCTCCATTCATAGAAGTATCACTTTATATTTACCCTAAATGCTGGTGAACAAATTAATAACAGAAAGAAGGATATTCAATGGATGAAACAAGATTGCAACCACTTTCCTGATCTAACATGTACACCTTGAATTGAACCCTGGAGGAGAGAGCGTCTCCCATGTAAACACCAAAACATCTTTTCCAATTACAATATTAACTAAAAACTTCTTTGAATAAGTATCGTATAAGTACATAATATTATATGATCACCAAAGTTTTAGAAATCACATTGAACCAATATAATTCACATTAAATACACAAAATAAAAAAAAAATCAACGGACATACATCTTTTACATCTTTCAAAGAAAATCAAAACGCTGTTGGGAAATAATGCAGGATCAGAACAGGTTCTACAGCATCTAGGGACTCTGACGAAGTGTGTCGAAGAGATGGCAACTAGCAGACCTACTGTTAGGGGGGAGGGGGAACAACGGGAACGTTTCCAGCGCAGGAACAACATAAGAATGGAGGAAACTGCAGTGAGCCTATTGGCCCATACTGGGCAGTCCCATTTACACCCAACCCCTATTGCTCATATATCCATCCAACCTATTGTAATGATTGTTTATCAGACCACAGCTTATAATCAGCGAATTACAACACATATAACATTAAGTATAGGCCCACGTGGTAACACACATACCAAGTCGACACACCCTACAGTCCCAAGAGACCTGACCTCGGCCACTAAGTACTTGAGTTAGCCCTGCAATATGACCGTGTTAAAGAAACCACACCTAGCCAAGACACACCCGGGCATGACCATGCACCTGGGCAAACCTAGCTGTCCAGATCTAACCAGTTTAGTGTTAATTGGCAGAGGTCATTCGCCAGCTGGTTCTCCCCCATACAAAGGCCCTGCAGTCCCGTCCATGCCCCATTCTAGCTGCTCATTCCGATTCTAGCTGCTCATTCCGATTCTAGCTGCCTCATTGGGATTTCGGGCATTCAGTTTCTCTCATACGGGTCATTAGATTCCTGATTCAGATTCCATTGAGACGACTGTAGCGTCACTATCGACAGAGGAGAGAGTCACGCTCTCAGGTCGGGAGGGACACCTCCCGACCAGACCCCAGCGTCACCAGCTAAGCAGAGTCTCCCATAGGAGACAGTCCAGAAGCACCTGCTGGGCCTCCCACAGGTCACACATGAGTCTGTGTCAGAACTATCCATAGGGTGAGTTACTTACGTTGGGAAGTGTATTCATTTCATGTTTGTGTCCGAGAGTCAGTGTCTACTGTCTAGTAACGTAAATATAATGTTCGAGTAATGTGTCCATACCACGTAATGTGCTAGTAACTTCGATATAATGTTCTAATATGTGTCTGTGTCATTGAGTGAATAATAAATAGCAGTATTGAAAGCGGTGTTTGAGAAGATGTCCCTTAAGAACATAATATAAGTGTAAATAACTAACCGGCCACCAGTGCCGGATTTAGACCTGTGGAGGCCCATGGGCAGCCTCTTTGTGGAGGCCCCCCATCATTATAACTACCCAAGAAGGTGGGGTGGCTAGTGAAGCGAGCCTAAACATCTGGGAGTTCTGGGGGGAGGGGGGCGCTGTAAGCCCCCCGGGAAAATTTTGAAATTTGAACACTTCTTTGGAGAATTTTAAAGCTAAATGCAGTTATATTGAAGAAATTAGAACATTGAAATTTTTTTAATTAACTGTATATTTATTGACAGTGTACAAATTCCCAACACACACACACACAAAAGTGAGACATGACTGGAGTCATTCATGTGGTTTCAAGTCGACCAGCCCTGATATGTGGAGGCCCCCAGATTGTGGAGGCCCCTGAGCAGCTGCCCACTTTGCCCACTCCTGAATCCGGCCCTGCCGGCCACGCTACCAAACTTCCTCTCTTTACATTCCTCCTACTATAAATATTCTACCTATATGTATATCTTTTATGCGAGTTTTGACCTGTTACACTATATTTGAAGCTATCCAGTGTATTCGAGTTAATGATGATAGTTGGTAACTTGTTCCACTCGTCCACTACTCTATTTCCAAACCAATGTTTACCTATTTCGCCCCTAAATCTAAATTTGTCTAATTTAAAACCATTGTTACGAGTTCGCTCCTGGTTGGATAGTTTGAGTACCTTTGTAATGTCCCCTTTGTTCAGCCCTGACTTCCATATATACACCTCTTTCATATCTCACCTCACTCTACGTCTCTCGAGGGAGTGCAAATTAAGATGCCTTAACCTGTCTCTGTACTCAAGGTTCCTAATGCCCAGGATTAATATTGTTATTCTCTTCTGAATTCTTTCCAAGGATTCTATATCTATTCTGTAATACGGTGACCAGAATTGAACTGCGTAATCTAAGTGAGGTCTCACAAGCGCAAGATATAGTTTTTGGATGACATCGCAGGTTTTGTAACTAACACTCCTTTGTATGAACCCAAGTACTTTATTAGCCTTGGTTCGAGCAAATGCACATTGTTTACTTGGCTTAAGATTCCTACTTATCATTACTCCAAAATCTTTCTCGCAGTCGGATTTCTCAATAACATCGTTGTTCATCTGGTATCTGGTTTCCCTATTTACATCTCCTATTCTGAATACTTTACATTTGTCCACATTGAATTTCATCTGCCATTTTTCAGACCATTCGAAATTTTTTTTAGATCTTCCTGTAGTTTTGCGGAATCCTCGTCAGATTTAATTACATGCCCTATATTAGTGTCATCAGCAAATTTACTTATGTAGTAGGTAGTAGGCAGCTACCAAACAGGGAGGTACTACCGCCTGGGAAGATATTGGAAGCATAATGTGTTGTCTAATAGTAGACCCTGCTGCTATATGGCATCACGAAAATTGTGACCAAGTCCCAGGTTGCTGATCTATCTTTCTGCCTCATTTACACACAATTGCAGGGTCTCAACTGTCTCTCTTGCTATTGACAACACCACAAATAAAACCGTACTCATTCTTGATCCGTTTTATTCATTCTATTTTATTCTCCTATGTCAGTTGATATTAACACTGCAGCGGGGCCTTCTCGGATGGGTCCCACTGGTCGGGAAGGTTGTGGACCCCAGGGCCGACCTGATCATCATCAAGCTTAAGCCAAGTAAACAATGTGTTTTTGCTCGTAACAAGGCTAATAAAGTACTTGGGTTCATACAAAGGAGTGTTAGTTACAAGACTAGCGAGGTCATCCTAAAACTGTATCTTGCTCTTGTGAGACCACACCTGGATTACGCAGTTCAGTTCTGGTCACCGTATTACAGAATGGATATAGAATCCTTGGAAAGAATTCAGAGGAAAATGACAAGACTAATCCCGGGCATTAGGAACCTTGAGTATAGAGACAGGTTAAAGCATCATAATTTGCACTCCCTTGAGAGACGTAGAGCGAGGGGCGACCTGATAGAGGTGTATAAGTGGAAGGCAGGCCTAAACAAAGGGGACATTACAAAGGTACTCAAATTATCCAACCAGGAGCGAACTCGTAACAATGGTTTTAAATTAGACAAATTTAGATTTAGGCGTGAAATAGGTAAACACTGGTTTGGAAACAGAGTAGTGGATGAATGGAACAAGTTACCAAATATCTTCATTAACTCGAATACGCTGAATTGCTTCAAACATAGGTTGGATGCTCATATGAGCAATAGGGGTTGGGTGTAAACGGGACTGCCCAGTATGGGCCAATAGGCCCGCTGCAGTTTCCTCCATTCTTATGTTCTTATGTTCTTACTGGGGCCTCAACTGACGACACCGCGGTTGCTGGAGGATCGGCTTTTTTCACACTTCATTTTTCCAACATTCACGGACTGAGATCTAATTTTTCTTCTGTGGAGCACCATCTATTAACCTCTTCCCCCGATTTCTTGCTACTCTCCGAACTTCAACTGACCAAAGCAGCTTCACCCAAACCTATTCAAGTCTCTAACTACAACCTTTATACCTCCTTCCGTTCTAAGGGAGGTGTTTGCGCCAACTGCAATACACGTACACCTATAGCCAGACTCACGGATCTTGAATCTCCCCTTTATGATGTCATCTGGCTCAAAATATCTCTACTTACTGTGACTATTTTTCTTTGTTTCCTATAATGTTCTCCAAACTCTACCAACTATTTCGAACTCTTTGACTATCTCACTTCTTGCC